ATAAATGCTCGATTTCTTTCAAATTTTGCACATACCAATATTTTTATCTACATTCGATGAAGTATGAAAATGGAATACTTCGGTCCGCTATGTCTGTTACCTCATAGGAAAAATTTGAATACTTCTATCTCTTTTTCGTAAAAATTGAGTCAATATAAGACAATTCAAAAATTAGTTTGCGAAATTATAACAATTTATTTGAAATCGTTTTGGTGCAACCATTATGTGATGGGCGGTATAATAATAAACATTGACGAGGCATTGTGTTTACCGCCTAAAAGTATGCCTTCCTAATTGATTTAGACTTAGAATTCCCTCTCTTTATATGATCAACCAATAAGTATTATCTAGCAAGTGGTTTGAAGTAACATATTTTCAACCCGATCCTGACTCTTCCCAGACTTTTATTTTACTTCAGGATCGATTCAATTACATTTTCTCTTTTAGTAGTTAAATAGAGAAAAGTGTAAACGAAGTACACTTTTCTCTATTTAACTACTACCCCAAATTTTCTTCATTACTTCCATTTATGGCGGTTTGAATGGGTGAAAATTACACTAATTATCAATTAAAGACAAAGCCTTTTCCCATTCCAAAAAAACACAAGACCAAAAAATGCATTCTAAGCAGAATATGAGTTGTACCTAAAAAGTACACAGTTGCGCGTCCCTTTCATTCTCTCATATCTAATTGGAGAAAAAACATAAACAAAAATTCAGTCTCTTTGGCAATTCGCACTCTCTCTCTGCTTTCTTTGCTCTCTTTTAATGACAGTCGATGCTATTATTGTGTTGTTGTTGTCGTTGGCGGTTTATGTTTAATGGACGGGGCACATGGGCACATTCATACGACGTACACAATCGTACATTTTACCTATGGGGGATGTGTGTGCGTGTGTGTTTACAATATAAATGTAAACGAAGTGAAATTAATAAAATATAAAGAATTCTTTTTCAAGTAATTGAGAAAGCAGCAGCAGTAGCGTCATACAAAAACATCAGCACCGACAACAAGTAACACAAATTGCCGAAGAAGAACAAAAAAATGGGCGTACAACAAACATTCTTCCGCTTCTTGTTCGCAAAATAATGGGTGCGGCGGGAAACAATGCCGCCGACAGACACCAACGCCGCCGCCGCCTTTGCTAGTCACTTGCCAGTCCGAGTTGATGATATGTTTTGATTCCTCTGGGGAGAAACAGAAGCAGAAGAAGCAAGACAACAACAACAATGCCAAGCAGAAGCTCTAAATTAAGGAATTTATTAAATGCCGAACATCAAACGAAAAAAAACATACATACATTATACGTATGAAGAAGGCAGCAAAAACGGAGGAGCAACAATTGATTTTCGAGCGATTTATATATAAATAAAAATACATATTGTCCGACATATGCCTTATTCTTCTTTGCGTGTAGTTAAACATAAACGATGAGTAATTTTTTCTTTTTTTTTCAAAAAGTAAGCAAAATAGAACATCACACTTACCTTCCTTCCCCTTCCGTAGTTTTACTCTATTTTAACAAAAGGGCAATTGGCATTGATTTCCTTACCACTTTTTGTTTTGTCACAAATATAGTTTACTACTTTTTTTTCCAAATGCAAATTTCAGTTTCACAAATGAATGTTTTGTTTAAATTTAATAGCGTTTTATATAGCACAAGAGTAAATAATTTGTACGTGTGTGTATGTAAGTGTTGTATGCCGCAAACGCTCCACTTTCAGAAGTTTTGGATTTATGGGAAGCCGCTTGTTTTACTGATTTTTGTATGGGTTTTCTGACCGTCGATTTTGGTGTTAACAACAATTTGTCTAATTTTATTGAAATACGGGCATATTGTCACTAAACAAATTAAAATCACAATTAAAACCAACAATCAAATAAGTGAGAGAATTAACCGAAAACAATGTTCACGTTCCATGGACGGCGGCACACACGCTCTCACACACCGAAAATCCTAAAATCTAACTGTCAATAGATTAGGGATTCACAGGTCGACTTGTGACTAATAGAAAAAAGAGGTTCAAAACGGAATTGAACTAATACAGCATTTACATGTTCGTATCATTTGCATGTAATTTGATTTCTTGTTTCGCCTTTAATAGTACATCCCAGATATTATTCATATCTCATTGTCAAAATTTATATTTATAAATCCATTGTATACACAGAAATCAGAGATGGGAACCTGCTTTTTATTCAGTAAAATTTGACGAATATGCAGAGATTGATAGTCTTTTTCGAGATGACTTTACCTTCTTAATATTACCATGGGTTACAGTTATTGTAAAATAATTCAGGTAGACGCGTTTGGAAACATAAATATATATATATTTTTCAATGTTTTTCAAAAATAGGTAGACTTTTACATGTTTTCTTGTATGACGCCAAGTGGAGGTTCTTATGATATGCATTTTTCAACGATTTTAGCGAATTTGGATAATTTTTCATTCAAAATTTGCAATTTTAAAATTCCCAGCAACCGTGTCTATGCGAATCAAGTTTCTTGGTATGTCCTTTGACAGGTGTGTTGAATGTACTTTGTTTTCATGTCATTACATATGCTCTGTTCCATAATCTGCAAGAATCTACTAGTTTTGCAATTTTTTCCGATTTCATAAAGGACAAATCGGTAATCGTGGTAAAAAATTACTTTCTTGAAGTCGAAAGATGTTGAGTCTCCTTTGTAAAATAAACATGGTAGAAGAATATAGGTAAACGCATCGACACAGCTGCTGGGACAATGAACTGTCAAACCAATTTTAGAATTGAAAATGTTGAATGAAAAATTAATTAAATTTGTAAAAATTTTTGAAAAACGCGAATTATAATAACATTCGAATGACGTCGTTTAAAAAAAATATAAATATCTACTTATATTTGAAAAAAACATTTAATTTTTTGCATCTATTCTTCTGCCATGGTAAAATAAACTTTTATTATATTTATAAATATGAATGTTGACAAAGTGATGTCGAAGTTATAATTTTGAAAACAGGTGACAAAACCCAATTGTCTAGAAATTTAGTTGTCAAAACAAAATCTTGTGATTTGAATAATTTAAGAAAATTCGGAAATTTTATATTCAAAACCATGATACAATAAGAAGTTGGAACAGCTTCGTAAATAAACTGAAATAAAGCTCTGAGACCCGCTCCCAATCAGAATTATTCAAAATTATATGCAAAAAGTTTTTCTCATTCATTTGTCAAGATGAATGAAATACCTAGTGTAGATAAAATATGATCCAAACTGTTCAATCTACGAATTCTACCGCAATGTACTTTTTTCCAGTCTTTGATTTTCTTGTAATGGGAGAACCATGGCAGAATTATGAAGGTAAAATCATGCAATCATATGGTTACAATTTTTTTTTCAAAATTATTCATGTGACAAAATCTCATTGTCAAAATTTTGATTCATAAATCAATTGCATGGTAGAATAATACAGGTATTCGCATCGACACAGCTGCTGAAAAAATGAACTGTCAAATCAATTTTCAAATTGAAATTTTTAATGAAAAATTATTCAAAATTGTAACATTTTTAAAAAATAAATATCTTCTTAATTCTACCGAATTAGCCGAAGTTAGCTAAATATTTAATTGGCGGCATTTTGGCATTGTAGATGATCCAATCTGTATTATTCGCCTCCTGTGTGACTTGTTTATAGGCCACTGTCTCATCTTCAAGATTTTATGTCATGACATTTGCCTTACATATTTCAGAAGATGTTTTATTTTTTGTGCCGTTTGGAACGTTTTTAAATTTATATACGGTATAAAATGACATATGCCATGTTTACGTTAGAACTTTTTGTAGGGTTAACCTACTTTGAGAGGATTTATTTGAAGTAAAAGTAATGGATATGACAATTTAAATCCAAATCCAGTGGGTTAACCCTCATATATATAAACGTACTATTACATCCTTTTTTAGGTGTAAGAATCTTAAATTTTTACCCTCTACTTTTTTAATTTTCCACTCTTGGAGATTCAATTCAAATTTTGAAAATACATGAGATACATGTTTGTATTTCAGCAACTAGTTCCGCTGTTCGATTTCAATGAATTCTCCAGCTGATGTTGCCTTTACCATGTCTCATTCGTTATTCTCCCATCTCTTTGTTTTTCTCTCCTCTTTCTGTCATTTTTGCTTTCTAACATGAGAAGACATCTCAGGCAGAATATAAAACAAGTACTTTATTTTAATATATTATTTTATCATTTTATGACATAAACACTTCATCAATTTAATATATTCCAACTCTAGCTAACGACAAGTTACAGTAGCGGATTCTATTCGCCGAGACATGTCGTTGATTGCGCCCTAGACGATGCTGTTAAGTTAAAGGATTTGAATGCATTTATAAAACTTACACCGGAATTGGCTCTGCATCAGGCCAAGGAATCGGCGCTACGTTATCATGAAAAACAACAAAAGGGCCCATTGGACGGGGTCACTGTGGCTGTGAAAGATAACTTCTGTACCAAGGGCATAACCACAACATGTGCATCCAAGTAAGTGCGAAATTATTAATTTTTTGAAAAAATGTTTTAAATATTTTATAAAACCATTTACTTAATTTAGGATGCTACAAGATTTTGTTCCTCCCTACAATGCCACGGTGTATGAACGTCTAGTCAATGCCGGGGCGGTATTGATTGGAAAAACCAATATGGACCAATTTGCAATGGGTTCCGGCACAGTTGATTCTATATTTGGACCAACCAAAAATGTGTGGAGCAAAAGCCTGGAGAATGATGACTGGTGCATCGCAGGAGGAAGTTCAGGAGGCTCTGCCATAGCAGTTGCAAGTGGTATTTGTTATGCGTAAGTAATTTAATGTTCATTAATTTTAAAACAGCTGTTTCGCTTTCATTGCCATTCCAACACTACACCAACAATTTGGGGGGTACACAACCTCACATTGCCAAACGTTCATTTTCCATGCAAACATTAATTGTTTATTGCGCAATTTTCGAAAAGATCAACTTCAATTCACTTTTCCGACAATTTTTTTCCGTTATTTCAACAGCTTCCCCCTTCAGTGGGTTGTTCGAATTTTCTATTTATTCATTACATAACGTTTTTGTTTATCAATTACACTTAATAGTAGTTTTAATTCTTTAAAAAGAAAAGCACAAAAATTGTTTAGATGATGATTTCGGTGTCACCCAATTCTTCATCGGAAGGCAGTACAATTGTGGATGGGTCCACATAGTTGGGGCTGACCAAATCCAAACCGGCCTTTTCACGGCGTCTCAGCTCCAAAAATGCTTCACGTTGAGCCCAATCACGCATTTGTGTATCGGGCAAGTAGGCCCAGAAGAATGTACCCCACACCAAACACAATGTTACGGCAAAGAAGAAAGAAGCTTTTGTTGAGTTACGGTCATTGGCTTCGTCTTTGTGATCAAAACCGTAGCTTACCCAATTCTTGGGATTGGGGTTTGCAAAATCTTCTTTGGTTACGGGGGTAGCGATGGCAGCTGTTTCATCTTTTTTTGGTGATGTTTTGATACCCCTCACGGCCAATGTGCGGTGCAAAGCAGCACGGTTTACAAAACGCAAAAGAGCTGACATTTTTGTTTGGCTTTTCGCTGCAAGAAATAAGGAAAATATTAGGAATTTTATGGAAAAAATCTATAAAAAAACACACACGCAACTGTTAACAGCGCTGCTACAAAAATCTCTCCACTGACAGTTAAATGTCAAAGTAATGTCAAGAAATGATAGCCACACACGAGTTGCCAACTTTTTCCGAGTTAAAGTTGGGTTATTAAATGTGTAACGTGATTGAAAGAATTTATTTGTACATTACGTAAATTTTTTCGAGACAATTTAAAATATATAGGAATCAGTACCCCATGAAGTAGACCATATAGTTTAAAATGTAAAAATGGGTCATGGCCTATAGTAAAATTAGGAATTTTACACCGTTGTAATCTAGCTTACTTTGAATTTTAAATCACAATTGTGTGTTTTGAAAGCAAACTAAGTTGTTAAATGGGTCTACTGGCCGAATTTATATAGAGCTTGGTTACGACCTTCCAAATACCATTCTAAAGAAGAAAATCAGGCAGTCGCTAACTGCTGAAGTTGTATCGTCAAAAATGTTCCGTATACTTGTATTTATTTCCTCCTTAGATCAGAGACAAATTTAAAATTTTGGTCTGAAAGACTTTTCACATTACCATGTAGGAATTATAAATAAAATAATTAAATATTAACCATATACGTCCTCACTTTATTTTCAGTGGTATTGGTTCCGACACTGGAGGTTCCACACGTAATCCTGCCGCATATTGTGGTGTTGTTGGCCTAAAACCTACCTATGGATTGGTATCACGCCATGGACTTATACCATTGGTAAACTCAATGGACGTTCCTGGAATATTTGCACGTTCTACAAGTGATTGTGTGGATATTTTAAATGCTATTGCTGGACCCGATCGCTTAGACTCTACGACAATTTCCAAACCATATCATCCAATTGCTTTGCCCGAACCAGAACAGATTGATTTAAGCAAAATTCGCATTGGTATACCAAAGGAATACCATTGTACTGGACTTTCACCAGAAGTATTGGAGACATGGGCCAAAATTGCTGATATACTAGAAGATGGCGGTGCAATGGTTAAGCAAGTATCATTGCCCCACACACCGAGCAGCATTTACGTTTACTCAATTCTAAATCAATGTGAAGTGGCAAGTAACATGGCTCGTTATGATGGCATTGAATATGGACATCGAGCAGACGATGATCGTAGCACTGAGGATTTGTACGCCAAGACCAGAGCTGAAGGCTTCAACAGTGTAGTTAAGAATCGCATTTTGTCGGGAAATTATTTCCTTTTAAGGGAAAACTACAACAAATACTTTGAAAAGGCTCTCAGGGTTAGACGTCTAATAGCCAATGATTTCCAAAATGTATTTGAGAATGTTAATGCCGATGAAAATGTAGATATTCTGCTGACACCCACAACACTAACGGATGCACCATTGTATAAAGATTTTATTTCACTTTCCAATCGGGATCAGTGTGCGGTGCAAGATTACTGCACACAGCCGGCTAATATGGCCGGTATTCCAGCTTTATCACTACCAATACGCTTATCTCAACAAGGACTACCAATTGGCCTTCAACTAATGGCCAACGTATTGAATGAACAATTGCTTTTGACCGTAGCCCGGTGGATTGAAGCCCAAGTGGGGTTTGATTGTTTCAATAATGAACAGTTGTATAATATAAGAAAATAAATACAGTTATATTTGTTAAAAGCTATTTAAATTTATATTCAACATTTCATGTTTTGTCCATGCAAATATTGGAGTAGTTTTCTACTTCCTTGGTAAATACTGTTTTACCAGACCCGACATTAACCTGAAGGTAACATTGCATGATAGAACCCAAATGGGTACCGAAATAGCGTTGGGTATGCCTGTGGGAAAACTTAGCAGACCCTGTAGTGGTTGCAGGCTTATGTCTTCACTGAATGTCAAAACGGGATTATAACGATTCCTGAAGGATATCACTGCGAGTGAAATATAAAGAATAGCCTTGAAACCATAACCCAGCATAATTTCAAAAGACACAGTTTTCAGTTGACCCTTTCGTTGCTCGGCTTTGATTTTTCGAAGTGCCTCATTCACTTTATCCTCTGCACGCATTCTCTTTATTTCGGCTACATAACGATCTTGTCCAGTGGCATTTAATACCTTGCCCAGTTCGGCCTTTGCCTTTTTTAATTCCTCTTGCAGGTGTTCCGTGTTTTCAGATTGACGGTTTGTAAACAGCGCTGAGATCCGTAGCTATATTTAGAGGAAGGGAACATATGATTTACAATGTTCAGTATATAATTATAAAGTGCTTACTAGCTTTACAATGTCCGATGCAACCGTTAGCAAAAAACAAATGATTATAATTGCAAAAAATAACATTTTTCTTTAAAAACTTGTTTATAAAGTTGGCTCACTTCTGCAGTTAGAGTAAGTAAGGTATGGAAGTAAGTAATTCTTTTTTTGAGTCTTCTTCTTTCTATGATAGGTTTACAAAGCGAATGGTTAACATGATATACCATGGTAGAAGAATACAGGTAGACGCATCGACACAGCTGCTGGGACAATGAACTGTCAAACCAATTTTGGGATTGAAAATGTTGAATGAAAAATTATTTAAATTTGTAAAAATGGTTGAAAACGCATATTATAATTATCTCCGAATGACGTCGTATAAGAAACCATATAAAAATCTACTAATATTTGAAAAAAACATTTAATTTTTTTGACATATCAATGTTCCCATGTTTTGTTGCATCTACCTGTGTTCTTCTACCATGGATAGATAAAAAAGTGATGTCGGACACATAAATCGTTTTTCGTTATTACAAGTCTCATTTAAATTTAAAGGCCAGAGCATCTTCCATTCATCTTTTAACGTAAAGTTTACTGAATTCATGTTGCCATATTTTATATTGATAACATGACAATAACAACAACATTTATTTAAATAAAGAAATTAATAACACAAATCGTTTATTTTATAATGTGGCGTTTCCACTGCACTTGATTCGCTCTCTATTCGTTGTTTGACCCTTAACTATGAAAAAACTACTTAATTCTTCACACAAAATTTCCTGAGCGAACAATCATATTTGTACATTGTTCAAATCAAATCACTCTCAGAACAACGAAAAAATATGTCCCATTCCTAACAAATGAGAGCATTTATCGAAAAAATTAATTATGACATTTAAAAATTGAAAATAGAAAAATTTAATGAAATTTTGAAAAATTTTGGGAAGACTGAAATTTATGAATGAAAACTACAATGTAGAATAGCGTATGTACATTCAAACGAAAGTAAATTTTGTTTTCTCTCTCATCCGAGGTACGCATTTTGTCCACGAGTTGAAATTACCACAGAAAACAGGAAACAAAAGAAAAATTTTTGTATCGGCAGAAAAAATGTTTGACAAGTGTCTCTCCAGCAGAATTTAAAAATAGAAAAATACAAAAATATGTTCAAAATGTCAACATTTACACAAAAAGTTGGAAACGTGAATGAAAATTATAAAATTAATGTTTTAATAAATCTTTGGGAGAAAAATAATCATTTCTTCTATCCATATTAGTGAGAATTTAATGTATTTTAGTATAAATTCCCATTAAAATCAACAAACAAAATTTTGAAAAAAAGGAATTATTTTACTATGAATTACGAATCGTGCCGTATGAACGGGTTAATTCGTGTACCTAATTCTGAGAGCGAACAACGTTGTTCGGTTTCCAATGGAAACATGCTATAATAAAGAACTATACTATAAATTTATTTCACGAAATTAATTACAAATTTGTTTTGTTTATTATTTTCAAACTAAACCATTGTGACGGACCGTGCGTGTTCATTGAACTTCATAAAATTGGTAAAAGTAATACCCAAGTATTTGAGGGTGGTTTTAAAAGGAATCTCAACTCCTTCAAGAGATAGCTGGTGTCCTTTACTCTCTGGACCAACGGTTCTGGTGCATTTTCCTGAAGCGTTTCGGAAGCATATTGCTACTGATTTCTCTGCGTTGATTTTGGCTCCCCATATTTTGATAGAATTCATGAATGCTCTCGAGATGAGTTCTAGCGTTTTGTAAGGCGTTTTTGGCGAAATGTTGTGTGCATAAATTAAGCAGTCGTCGGCATATAAAATCGCTTGGGAGCCTTGGTTGACGTGGGAAAAGTCATACAGGAAGATGTTAAATAGGTATGGGGCTAAAATACTTCCTTGTGGTACCAAACTTTTTACTAAGCCCGTAGCAGACCGGCTCTTTTCCTGCTCTTTTCCTCTAATTTTTCATTCAACATTTTCAATTCCAAAATCGGTTTGACAGTTCATTGTCCCAGCATCTGGGTCGATGCGACTACCTGTGAAAAAAAAAAACACCATTACAAAGTTTTTTTTTTAACTTTTGTTAAAGAAATCTGAGCATCTTATTTGGAATGAATTTCAAAACCTGCAAGAATCTATTAATTTTGCAATTTTTGTCGATATCATAAAGGGAAAATCTGTTATCGTAGTAAAAAACTTTTATATTCTTGTAGTTCTAGAACAGATTAATTGTACCCGTCTCAACGCGTTTTTCTCAATGCTTTTATTTCCTTTAGAATGTAAACGAAACCAAAAATTAATAGACATTCCAAAAACATATAAGTGGTAGCCCTGTTGCACCCTTAAATGTCACTTTTGGAACGATTTTCATTATAATTTCTACCATATGTTTCCAACACCTCAACATTAGGTTGGCAACTTCACCACAACCACCTGCTCGAACTGTCAGTTCAACCTTTATTTACATTTGTAATTTGTTGTTCTCTCTCTTTCGGCTCTTTGGAAAACATGATTTTTTAAGACCACATTCACAGACGTCGCATAACTGATCCAATAAAATATAAATTGGAGCATATAAAACGGATTCTGTGACAAAACAATGATTTCCAATGAGTTGGAATGCGACAAGTTAAATAAATTTAATAATATTTTACATCGTTCGTCGCTGAGGGGACTAAAGAAATGTGGTTCGTGTGGTTCTATTAGTGGTCAGCGAGCGCTTATATGTCGTAATACAGAGTGTGATTTGCGTAAATGTATGTTGGCTTCCATCAAACCGTTTGATCCAATTCAGCTGGTCACACACAACGATGTCCGACTCTTCTCGGTGAGGACTAAAGAGAAGATAGTTAACGTGCGAAACTTCGTGGCTATCAGTCAGTCGCCCTCAACTGGTATATTTTCACGGAAGGCTACCTGTTATGTGGATGGCTGTAAGAATGAGGCCCCAACTGATTTCCACTGCCAGCATATCAAGGCCATTTATTCGGTCGATACTGATTTCCAATTGGCTGAGGTATATCAATTGGACAAGAATGTTTTGTGGAATTTAAACGTTAGTGAAGAGCAAAAAACTAAGCTATGGGACTCGTATTGCCGCGGAGAAAATGAAGAAAACATACCACCAATACAACGCTTAAACGGTCAAACTTTTGCCGTTACATCTTTGAATTCAAACAATTTTCTAGCGGGACGCTTACATGTGACAGTTTGTTCCGATGCCGTGACCAATAAGAAAGGTTTCTACTTGTGTGCCTGTAAAAAACTTAAAATCGTTGTTGAACCCGACAATTCTGTTACCATGAAAAAGGAAATCTGTGATCATCTCTTGTTACTGCTTGCTGCCATTCTCAATCGGCCAGACAAGTCTATGTATAGTGCCTTTCTTGATGCCCTGCAACACCTATGGATGCCAACCACATTGAACCCACCGGTTGACTCAAGTTCTTCTCCGCTTACTGATTTCGACATGCCCATGATTGATTGTGACGATAAAAATGAGGTCAATCCAATTGGAAAATCCAACAACAGCAACACGGAAGACTTTTTTAATTTCAACGAAGATCTATTTGCCGAAAACGTAAGTAACGCCATGCAATTATCATCTAAGGAAAAGGTCATTAGAATGCATCATTCACAGCATTCTGATGTTAATCAAATTGAATGTAATTGGATAGAAATTCCCAACGGAAATTCGGTAATTATATTTCGAAATGCTAGCTGGGAGGAAGAAAAGTATGTGAGTACGTACATGTGTACACAGTTTATATTCATGACGTTACTGTAGTCGTTAGCGGCATGAAGCGCATTTATTGGCAGATAACAAACGGCGGCGTGTCAACTCCACACTTTGGTCGGGTTGAGTTAGTAAAAAAAACTTTTGATTTATTTTGGCTTTTTGTTGTATGTAATGTGTGTTAATTGCTTTTCCAGTATCTCACTAATTATTTACCTAGCTAGCACAAAAACAAATATATGTACCTATGTGCACACATACAACCCCACCGATATTTCAATGCCTCTGACTTTCTCTGTTTGGGTATAGCTACCACGGAGTATTATTTTTATGTTATACTTTAAGATTATCACACGACATTGTTGATAATTTAAATGTCTACAATTCAAGAGGGTCAAGTTAGAGAACTGTTGTAGTATTTTTAGAACTATTATGGAGTTCAAAACTATGACTAAACCCATTTATGATGGATTGCTTTACATGTCTGGTTATCTCTTCTGGGTTCTCTAAAAATTATACTGCGAAAGGGCTTTGGAAATTCACTTTAGTAGGCCCTTTAGAACCCTGTTAGGTTTTTACATTTTGATGGATTTTCAAATTCGACTTCATCACTTAACGACCGTGGGTCTAGATGCCGGTTTTAACACGCTTAACACGATTTTAGGTAATAAAACTCGCATGTTTCGAACCAGTATGAGCAGCCTTAGCCGCACCAAGCCCTTGTAACAATCATGACATCTTTCACGCAAAAATATGTAGTGCGGAATCATGATTCTAGGCAATTTACTAGGAATTTACCAAAAATGTCGATACAAGGTGTACATAGAATTCTAATGGAATCGGATGTTAGTTTCGTATTTTATGAGCTTCATGAATACTCAACATTTTGACCCTTTGTAGGGGAGGTGCCAGAAGAAGTGGACCTATATATCCCATCTTCACACCAGACCTTGGATTAATTAAAATATTGTGATGTGTGTTATTTGAAGAGAACCGGATGCTTATTTCGGATTTTATGAACGTTTTGGTCATTCAAAATTGTAACCCTTTGCGGTGGAGGTACCATAAGGAATGTTCCGATCTGCACCATCTTTATAACAGATATTGTGTTGATGGAAATATTGAAATTTGTCAAGTCTGCATGAAATCGTATGTTAATTTCGTGCTTTATGAGCTTCATGAATGTTCAAAATGTTGACCCTTTGTGGGGGAGGTATCAGAAGTAGTGGACCGGTATATCCCATCTTCACACCAGACTTTATGTTAATAAAATATTGTGATGTGTGTAATTTTTAAACAATCGGATTCTTACATCACATTTTATAAAAGTAATAATTATTCCTGAAACGGATTTGAAGTGACCTAAAACTCTTATTTCGATGAGGCACGTGAGCTGTGAGTTATTTTATTAAAATATGGAGTTTCTTTGAATATAACGAACAAGGATGTTGTTCCTTTTTTACCTACAAAACATATATCTAAATATTTTTATAAGTTTCGCTTTTAGTAAATATCGTACCTTTTTTAAATTTTTTTCAGACCATTCCTGATTTTTCCGACATGCTTTCTGACATGGAAACAGAAGCGAAAAAAACCTCAACATCATGTATGCAACAACAATACCTGCCAATAGTCTCCACATCAGATCCTCACTTCAATTCCAACAATAGTGTTGAAGATTTCGATATAAATTTTCCTCACATTAAACAAAACAGAATTGCTGATTCGGTAACAAGTCGCTCCACCATTTCACCAAATTCCAACTTCAATGTTGTCGGACAATTTCAATTGAGCAATGACATTCGACTATCATGTGATAATATAGCTTTAGCCCAGGAAATTGAAAGTCTAAACAATATGGAATCGCAAGCCCAAGAATCATGTTTAGACACAACCCAGTTGAATGGCATTGAACAAATCAAAAAAGAACCCAACACCCCAACGGTCAATGATTTACAAAAGACCACCACAAATTTTGTAGGAAATACCTCAAATTCGGTAATCATCAAGCCAAAGTGTAAACCAGTTTTTCTCAACAAATCCGTCATCGTTAAACAGAGTCCCGTTAAAATCATTAAAATCACAAAACCCGGTGTTATACAAAAACTGCCAACAATTGATAAGAAATTTGTACAAATCTCCAAAATAGATTCTAGCAAAATAATAGTACTTAATACAAAAAGTTCACAAAAACCAATCAATATTCAACCCATAAGTAATGTAACTGTCACATCGACAGTACCATCACCGCCTCTAATGGATGCATCACAGCCATCGAGTATGGCACCAGCATTGTCTTATGAATCGTGGTTGGACCATATAATAGAAATATTAAATGACAGTATTATATTACAAGACTCCAATAATATTAAGCATACATTCCATGTTCACGAGGTAAGTTATTATTTTGGAATTTATAGAGATGTTTACAAGATTTTGTAATTTCTTTCCTCTTTTCTTTTAGGATATGTTCTCACATTTCAGTAAAACTTTTGGTTTCAATAACAAACCCAGACTGCCCAGTTTTACTCAAGTATTAACCAGCGGCAAACATAAAGGTCTCATTAAATATGGATGGTATTTCAATCAAGCAGCGGCCGTTAAAAGAATATTTTCAACCAAAAATGTAAGTATTTAAGAAGATGTCTACACATTTAAAAATTGGAGATGGATGTATGAAGGAAGAAATTTGCAAGGATTTATATTCAACAGTAAGCCTTGTTTAATTATAGATAATTCATGCAGTCGAATAAATTTGCACGCTGCTAAAAGTTCTGTCCATGAACTACTTTTGCTCGGTCGTGGGTAGAACTTTTAACAATGTGCAAAATTCAAATTAAATGTGGAATAAAACTAGGGTCAATACATTTTTACATTGTTTTTAAATTTCATTGAATGAAAGCAAAAATGTCGGAAATAGCATAAAATTTTAAATAAGTTTAGATTTTTTCGAATTGGTCACCTTTGGCACGAATTATGGTCAATCACACACTGCCCGAATGTTGCTCTGTGGTATTTTGGCCCATTCCCGGCGATGAGCCTGCTTGAGTTGATCAACACTTTGGTATTTTTAGTGCCAACCTTACTTTTCAAAATACTCCAGCGTCCAGCGGATTGGTATTCGGAGATTTTGGTGGCCATTATGCGCTGGAAATGAAGCGAATAACCTCATTTTGTAACCATTCTTGGGTGGCGCATGCTGATTGCGATGGTGCTGAATCCTGTTAGAATGTCCCAGGTCTCCGGCCAAAATGCTTTAATACACCCTCCAGAATATTTTCGCGATAATATTCGGCATTTATACGAGCCGAGAGCGACCATCGGCTGTTATGGCGGCGCACACCATCACAGGCCGGCGCTTGAGTTCTGGTGGCCAACCGAAGGTTCACATTTTCAGCTGACCTCTTGCACGATCATTTTCTTTGTTAACCAACTGCTGGACAACTAATGTTTTCTCATCGGAGAAAATCAAATTCGGCAGATCACCACTTCCGGCCAAGCAAAGCTGATCTTTAGCTCTTTTAAATCTATTTCTTTCTGTTGTACGGTGTAAGTTCTTGCACATCTGGAATTTCAATGGCTTTGCCCCGAGCTCATTTTTCAATATTTGCCGAATGGAATATTGCGATATGTTCAGCTCACGAGCCATATTTCGGCCACTGTGACGCGGTAATGGTACGAGACACAAATGACTTATTCACATAAAAAATAAGCAATAAGAAACAAATTTGAAGAAGAATATTTTCCTTTTTATATAATAAACTAGGTCGTTTAGATCGGTTTCGTCAACATTAGTTCTACTTCTTAATTTCAGAACTTTTCTTAGGTCTTTAAGGGAAAGAGGCAGGGCTATTAATTAGGTTTTAGACTTTGAAGGCGAGTGACTGCTCTTTTTGAATACTGTCGCTCTGAACTCTTCCCATATATCAGACTCAACAGGTAGTCTTGGATTAACGGCATCCAAAAACGATTTATCGCAGCTTGTACATTGTTGAACTTGATCCATATTTTGAACGTAAAGCTTTGTTAACATTAATTATTTTCAAATACGCTTTATTTGAAAAAAGGAATCGGAATTCATTTTTTAGGTAGTGCCGATTTAAGATAGTTAGTTGGTATTTTCATGTTTTTTTCTTACTTTGTGTACTTTGTCCTATATCTGTTACATTTGAATCATCGGGGCAACAAACTGCTAACATGCAAGATATTAATCGACACAAAGTTATTGATTCTTGTTAAAACAATCTTATCAATACAATCTTCTCCGTCATCACGAGGATTGTTGAATAGATCGTGACGAATAAATGTATGCCAAAATAATTTAATTTATTGTCACGGGTTCATATTAACCTGAAGTGTTTTGAATTTTTATCAATTTCATTTTCGTCTACGTTCTCAAGTGGTGCACGAGTTCCAAGAAATTGTGGAGTGCACAAATTTTTATAATGCAATTCGATTTCGCGCTATGTGTCTTTTTTGTTAATTTTGGTCTGCTGCATGGAATTCTGCTTTTGCCTACAAGGTTAACAAACCAAACATAAACAAAAACATTCGGTTAGCAATCGGTCCAGAAAATGTAAAATTGCTGGTTTGTTTTAAGGTATCGCAGTTAACGGTAGGCGGCAACTCTTCACTCGGATATATGGTTCATTTTAGGAAGAATAAAGTTTTTGGTTGTGGGAGAGATAATGAAGCTAGAAATAGAAGAAAGATTTTATAGAGAGAAGTGTAGTTAGCAGGCTGGTCTGCCTAGTCAGGGAATGCTTTTCGCAAACGTGTATCTGATGTTGGTTTTCTATCCCTCATCTGTCAAATAGTCTATCTCATTGACGTAGGACCTCTCTACCTCTTTTCAGCTTCACATAGTCTACTGTTGTCAATAACACTGTAATGCCCTATTGAGGTCAGATATCTGATTAGTATGTCCACCGCGATTCTTATATCAGACCAACTAAGTCATAGAAGGGAGCTTGTTCTTCTTCTAAATATGGCCTTAGATATCATGCAACATGTTTCCAACTCCAGATTCTTCCGCTTTCTTCAATAAGAGACTTTTTAAAGTAGCAGACATTATACCTTATTGTTGGTTTAATAGATCAATAGACTTGGAACCACTTCAAGCTAATTCCCCGTCCAGAGTTGTCTCAGCATTTCGTCTGCCTTCTAATTTTTGTAATCAAGAGTCTCCGCCTGAAAAACGCTCCATTTTTCATCATACATATATGAGTGTTTAATCATTGGCTTAGGGAATAAAAATACGCCACCGAATTCGGCCCGTCTACTTGTTTTTCAAGTTTTACCATTTTTATACCGTTACCGTTTATAGATTTTAACAGATTTTTTTTTTTCGAAACTTGCCAAAGTCATTTCAAATGGTGGAGGGTATCCAAGTTTGGCCCCGCCGATCTTACAGCTTTTTTTACTTGTTTTACTTTATAAATCGGAAAATCTTTTTATGTTCTTCCCCTTTGTTCCAAATTTAAAATTTTTTTACCCAATTAATAGTTTTATATTGAGGAAATTTTTTCTTTTTATTTTCAGTCCAAATTGGAATTGCAACGACCAACGGAACCACTTAAAGATGGAAATTTTGTGCCATTCTTTTCTAAAATCTCTAGCCAAATAACTGTTACCAAATGTCGTCCAAAAGAGCCGGAGCAAAGAGTTTTTCTCAAGTTCTCGAATGCCCCTGAAACTGCTTCGGATACATATGAGGTAAGTGTTTGCTTGCAATTCAGTACCCCAAGTAGATAGATAGTAACAAAGTGTTTTGTTTTTTTTTTATTTCAAACAAAGAATGACAAATCCGGTTTAAAACTAGAATGGCTTCCTTCCGCCTTTCCCAGAAGTCATTTTGGCCTTATGACCATTGAGTTTTGTGTTTACACATACAGCAAAAATGGTTCTATATACGGTAACCTCTGAAATTTGTGCAATAAAGTTTTTTTCTTGTTTTATTAGAATGCCTATGTGTTTTCTTTAAGCATTTACAACAATACAAATAAAACAAGTGCCAGTATAATTTTTATACGTTTTATTATTTTATTCTCATTTAACTATATTACCTTTTATTTTTCATCCATTGTATGGAGTTTTATCTGCACCACTTTTTCTTTCATCCATTAACTATGACGCATTGCTCTTGATAACATCCATCATTTTCCTCAACTGTGTATTTTTACCTCCGTAAAAAAACCCATATTTGTATAATAGTAATTCTGCTGTTGCGTATGGGGAAAGCACAAATAGATAAAAAAAACGTTGATGAAAAGCAAAACAATCAATTTTAAGTCTCAATAAGTACACCTAATGAGGATATTAATATCATCAACGTCACCCTGTCTGATAACACTGGAATTTGCGGCCGCCTCACATAATCCTACGTAATAAATTTGACAATTTGATAAAACAAAAAAACTAACACTAACCCAACATTGTTAAAACCGTTGATATATGCAGCTATACGGCAAAGTACATAAGAAGAGTTTAATTACTACTGGTGGCTGCAAAGCCAAATAGTTAAATGACACCAATAATTGGTGAATCGCGTGCGTTGTGTTTTTGAATACAATTTTTTAACATGTCTTTTGTGTGGGTGTTTCACAATGCAACTGGTGGTGCCTTCATGGATTTTCTGGGTGTGGAAGAAAATAGGATTAGGTGGGAGAAGGGCGACATTTGAAATGTTTGCACTAAATGCCTCAAATGTAAAAACTAAAAGTCGAGAAACCTCATTTTTTTACTCTCAGCAATGAGAAATAATGATAATTTCCAAAACAACATTTTTTAAATATTTTTAAAAAATTCAAATTTTTGAACATCTTTGTAATATTAGACCGAATAATAGGATGGTTTAGTTTAAGGATGCGCAGCTACACGGGATTTAGCAATTGCTTCACTCAAAGTCCTTTGGTCCATCGTGTTCATCCTAGTAAGAATAAAGTTGTTGGAGGCAGGAGAGGAAAATAAGAAAGTAAGTCCGTTTGTCTGGCTGGTGCGCATGATAACTCTCGAGTATGTGATTTTTTTCAAACTTCCAAATCCAAGTTTGATAATAATATTACGATGTACCGTAATATTATTATCAAACTTGGATCGAGTTCGGAGATTGGCAATAACGGTACACTCCTTCTGTTACCTCCCTCAAAAAATGCCGACATTTTCAAAGAAAATAATTTGCTGCACAGAAAGAGAAAGGATAATCCGTTTTTGCTCTAACTTTCTAATTCTAATATTTGCATCAGTGCCATATCAGGTGCGAAAATGTACCCCACCTTCCCCACAAAGGGTCAACATTTTCAATAAATATAACTCTTATAAAATGTGATGTAATAGTCCAATTGTCTTCAAATTACACACATCACTATATTTTTATTAATCCAAGGTCTGGTGTGAAGATAGATTATATCGGTGCACTCCTTCTGATACCTCCCCCACAAAGGGTCAAAATATTGCTATTCATGGAGCTCATAATACACGAAATTAAAATCCGATTCCATTCTGACTTGGTCCATCTCAATATATACATCAACGCAAGATCTGTTTTAAAAATTGCAGAGATCGGACCATTCCTTCCTACCTTCCCCACAAAGGGTCAACATTTTGAATTACCAAAACTATTATAAAACTCGAAAAGAAGCATCCGGTTCTCTTCAAATTAAACACATCACATTGTTCTTAGTAAACAAAGGTTTGGTGTGAAGATGGAATATATCGGCCGACTCCTTCTGGTACCTCCGCCTCAAAGGAGGCTCATAAAACGTGAAAATAACGTCCGATTCCATTCAGACTTGATACATCTCAATATTTTCCATCAACACAAGATTCTTCTGGTACCTCCCCCACATAAGGTTCAAGATTCTGAAAAACGAAACGCTCAAAAAAAAAAGCGAAATAAAATAACAAATTTCACACATCCAAATATTTTTGCTAATGTAAGGTCTGTTGCGAAGATAACCCCTTCTGGTAACTCACCCACAAAGGGTCAAAATTTCCAATACTTTTATCTGTCATAACTTGCGAAACAAATCGGCGATTCTTTACAACATGATATATCTAAATATTTCTCGTAACCAGAAATCGGGTATGAATGCTCGATTTCCTTCACCTTCGACACCACAAGCAAGTGCTTCGCCGGGAAGGGGCCAAAATACCGCAGAACAACAATTGGGCAGCGTGTGACGCTTTCATTGGCCGTTTAAAGGCCATAATTCGTGCCAAAGGTTACCAATTCGAACAAATCTAAAATTTGATGCTATTTCCGACATTTTTGCTTTCATTCAATAAAATTTAAAACAATTCAAAATTATGGCGTTTGTTGCAGTTTTTTTAATTCACCCTATATGTGATCACTTTATCAATGTATTTTGAAACGTAAAGGCCCTTCAATAAAATTCTCTTCAGCCTCAGTTCAAAAAAGACTCTTAAAAAACCTCTCAATTAAAACAAACACATTTTATTTTATTCGTTAAATCGTTTCTTTCGTATATTTATTTCATTCTCTTTTTGTTTTTTTGTTGTTGTTTTGTATTTGCTTTATTATAATGTATAATACTTGTTTGCTTGTTGGGTTTCTTCTTTATATCTTGTCCTTAAGTGTAGAGTTCCAAAGAAAAAAAATGAATGAAGTGAAATTAAAGAATTTTACATTCAATTCATGTCATTTTGAAACATTCCATTTGTAATCAGAGATATTCGGTTTTTCGATTGGCTTATTTAAAAATTAAAATTGTATTTGTGTTTTTCTTTTTTTTAAATTAGTACATAAAATTTACAAAAATTATCTTATGTATTTATTCTGTTTGTTTTTGTTTTTTTGTTCTTCTTATTTATAAATACGTAATTTATTCTATATTTATAAAGTGTATTTACATATGTATTTCTTTTATTCAATCACTTGTGCCTTGGTGCTTATTTGTAAATGTTTTTTTTTTCTTTGAAGTTTTTTAGTATGAATTTTCGATTTATTTTTTTCAAAATTTTATCTATGGGCCATATGAGCAATATTTATTTCGGTTTTTTTTATTTTTTACAACATTTTTGTTTTTTTTTTTTGTTTTCGAGGAATTGAATTCATGTTGAAAAAACAATTTGAAATTAGGACGGACATTATACCAATAAATTAGGGATACACTGGGGAACAAGTAAAATATGTTTTAAAACAAGGAGTACATATATGGGTTTGACAATGGGCATAAGACAGACTTTGAGAACATGTTTTTTTAGATTTTGAAAACTTTTTAAGATGCTGGAATAGCGATAATGGGACATCGGTAGGCATAATAACGTTTAAGTCGTTACTTGTCAAATTATATAGATTTTATACGTTCTTAAGATTTTTGTTTTTATATATCCAATCTGAATGTGAGATTTTTTTTTTGTTTTTGGGTTAAAATATTTTAAAAAATAAATAAAAAAAATTCAGATTCAAAGAAAAAAATATTTTTTGAATGAAAAATGAATATTTTCTAATTCTAGGCAATTTTAAGGAATCAAAAAATGGTTCAAGAGTAGTATATGTGGCACTAGAGGGAAAATTACTAAAATATACGTAATATATGCTCAAAAAATTACATTTGTCGTTTTTTAATCTGGTCACCAAATGGCTTTCTTCCGAGTACTCCACGTATACACTGCTTTTCTTTCCTACAATAAGATGCTGATCTCTCGAGATGTTCCTCCCACGTTGTCTTTGTCACTATGTACTAAAACATGAACTGAATTTCCACAACAAGTTCGATCAAAATGGCCAAAGCCCGTTCCAATGAAAACGTGAGTTTTTTACTGATTCATTTGCAACCGAGACAAAAAGTATATATTTTCTTGAATCCGGCAAAAATCAAAATCAAATTTAAGAATCTATCATTTAAGCTATGGTTCTATTCTGGAAGATGCCTTTGGGAAGGATTTTCGATTTTAATTCTATTTAATCACTTCCTAGCAATATGTATGAAAACTCCTTTGAGAGGATTATCGTAAATCTCAAACACTTTGTAATGCAATTAATACTCCATTTAAATTAAACGGATTTTGTTTTTGTTCTTTTGTTTAATTATTATTTTTCTTTTGTTTTATTTGACAAATACAATTTCTTATCAGGAAGAAATACAAGCACACTATATAAAACTCGACTTACGCTACACTTGTCGTTGTCGTCGCCTAGTCGCCGTCTGTCCAGAGCCCAGAAATGTGGGAGAGATCAAGAAATGATGATATACATATACATTTTGTTATGTTTTAGTTTTTTTTTTTTGTTTTTTGATTTTGTAATAACAAATGACTAAGGATACAACATTTTGTTGTTTTGTATGGTTAAAACTTAATTACAGTAAAATACACAGGCAATGTATAAATGTAATGCTATTTATATATGTATGTGTGTGTGGATATTACGCCAACTCAATATTACATACAAACTAAATAAATAATTTAATAGAAAAAATATTAATATTTATATATTTAAAAAAAAAAAACTATATATATGCAATTTGTTATATGTATATAAAAAAGTAGATATTTTACTTAAAAAATAAGTCGTTGATTTTTGTGTTACAATTTAGAAACGTATATCCTAGGAAAATAGGGAAAGTCATCGTTATTAAATATAAGGGTTGCTAATGGTAATAATAATAATAGTAATAATAAGGATGGTCGTTCGATAATAATGGGATAGGATTTGGCGGGGGGAAGAAAAGGGATTGCATGTTTCCACCTTGTATATAGGTAATATATCTATATTTATATATAATCTGTATAAATGTATAATTACGCGAATGAACTATTTATGATGTATGTGTATGCATGATGGTTTTTGATGTATTTTGTGAATTTGTTTTTCCATTTTTGTTTTGTTTTTTCTTGTTTTAATAATAATTTTTGTTTGGTGCTAATCTACAATTTTTGTTTCACATTTTTTACTCTTCGGTTTAGTTTTTTAAGGTTAGTTATCCTTGTCCTTTCTTTTTTTGTGAATGTATTATTTGTTTGTTTGTTTTGTGAGTGTTTTAAATATGTCCACTGTGTGTGTGCATAAGATCTTTTTGTTGTTGTTGTTTGCTTTACATTACAATTTATTACTTATTTGTAATTCTAATATCTATGTTATGGGTACACACTTGGGTCCAGAGCTTTAGGCGAATTTAAAATAATGTGATTTTAAAAATCAAATTCTGTAAAAACGTTATCATTATACCGATATATTTTCCAGCAAGTTTCAGATAGCTCTCGCGTTACTGGTATATTTATTGCATAAAATTGACCCAAGTGTTAATCTTGTCATTCCATGTTTAATCGGGCAAATCAGTTTTAAAACAATTTTGGAAGTATTCATTATTAGAAGGGGAAAATTGTAAAAATACATTCATTTCATTTATTTACCTTACAAAGAAATATAAATGAGCCCACATTTTGAGGAAATTGAAGACAAAAAACTTAAGAACTGCTATTTGTGTTTTGAGACTACGACGGGTCGACTGGACTTAAGCTTGGCACATGGCATATTTTGTGACACATTATAAAGGAATGACAGAGCTGCCTTCGAATCCTGTGTTTATTTTCCCTTTTAATTTGAGAATTTTGGCCAAGCTGCTTATGTACCATCACTTATATACCTAGCCCACTTATTCACATCCGTACAAACTTTATAATTATAAAACATTATTCTATTCAACAAACAAACAGCCACATAAAATTTTAACATATTACGGACAACATAGAAATTTTTTCGGGGAATACCTTTTTCCATAAAGATATAGCCAATAAATAAATAAAAAACATTGCGGACAACAAAGTCTTAGTATTTTTCTCAGAGAAATGTGCTGGATTCATTCACACATACTACAAAATTAGACGCCAATATTTTAAGAATTCTTCCAAAAATTTTAAATTATTAAAAACTTTTTGCTCATTTGCCCGACTCCACTTGGAACGACTCATATGATTATATCTCTATGTGTGTATATATATATTCCTCATTTTATTTATTTGTTGTTGTTGTGTTATTTTTAGGTTTTATCGTCTATTGCATAATTTAACCTACGATATCTAAGCTTTGAGCATCAGTAACTGTGGATGTGGAGGTGAGATTATTTAGACAAGCACCATTGTTAGTATTGGGATTATTAAAGAATGCCGTTGGCGTTGTCGCCGATGAGGGAGATGGGGAATTAGAAGCATTTGGTTGGGGTATTGGTGGAGAGGAATTCGTTGATGTATTCATGGATGAATTGGTTGGAGGATTTAGTAATGGTGTGGTAATTTCATTGGCATTGATGACAGTCGATGAAGACGTTGATGGTGTTACACCCAACGATGGAGGATAATCAGCATCGGCAATTGTGGGTGGATTATAACCCATGGGATAATCAACAATTGCATCAATCGGATGATGATCGACAATATGCAAAGCAGCATGATGTGGTGGTGAGCCCGTCACATTTTTATTGGTTACCGAGGACGATGACGAGAATCCAGTATTGAATGCCGCCGGTGGAGGTGGTGGAGTGTATGAGGTTATATTATCACAATCAACATCCGTGATGTCATTTTGATTGGCAAAGTGTTGAATATATTGTTGTTGATTTAATAGGGCCAGCATTTGTTGTTGTTGTTGATAGACCGGTGATGATGATGTTGAGTTTTCGTCAACATTTGCAATAGCACCGGCAAATTGTGGTGGCGGAGGTGGTTGTGTTGTTGTTGTTGCAGATGCATTGACAGTAGAATTTAGATCATCCCCATCACCGTGGTTAGTAGACAATGATGGAGTAGTAGTAGTGGTGGTGGTTGTGGGAGTAGTAGTAGTAGTAGAATCGTTGGTGGTATTGGTAGTAGTTATAGTATTAGAAGAATTATTAAAATTAGAATTAGTTTCACTGTTAGAGGTTATATTCATACATAAATTACTATTATTATGGGAAGGTGGTGGTATTGAAGGATTATTATGATGATGATGATGATTGTTATAATTATGGCTATGGTTTTGGTGGTGGTTGTTATGGTGGTGATGGACGTTTTCCAATAATGAAGATGATCTTGATAGATTTGAATTTGGATTTGTTGTAGTTGTTGTATTTGCTGTAGCAGATAAGTTATAATTGTTATGGGATACAGAATTTGTGTGGGAGATGGTAATGATGATGACTGATTATTTTGAATATGTAATGCAGCAGCAGCAGCAGCGTTACCACCAACAGCAGATATGGCTGTTGTCTGTGTTGGTGTGGCTGTGATTGCTAGTGCATTTGTTGTTATTGTTGTTGTTGCTGTTGTTGTGTTACTATGATTGTTGTAATTTAGACATGAATTCGTTGTTGTAGGATTCGGATTTGGATTGGAATTGTTTTGATTAAGAATTGATTTTTGATTTGATTGAGAACTGCTATTACGTTTTGTTTCACTATTGTGTTTTTGTTGTAAATCATTATTACCATTACTGCAAATTTTACTATATAGATCCGGCGTTGCTGTTGTCACATCCTCAATTTCAATTTTGATGGCAGTTCGTTTCAGCAACTGCAGATTACGTGGCAGCAAAGCGAGTATGTTATATATTAAGCGTATATCTTCACTAGATGTCCAAACACCGGGACGTTTGTTGTGATACAATTTGGCATATTGATAGATATTTGCCATTTGACAGTATTCCATCTCAATCGCCAGCGAAGAAATGGCACAAAATGTACAGGCTTGGGCGCCGCCATATCTGGAAAAACAAAGCAGTGGTTAGACTTCATAATTTCATTTTAAATATGACAGCTTACCTATCCACAACAACAATTGGTCCGTTACGATAATCATTGCCCCGATCATGGACATCGACAATGAAATCATAAATGCTGCTGGGATTCGACATTTCCGGCCAGCTGGGGCAGTGTAACATTTTCACACTTAGTTCATAGTCGTCCTGTATTGATTGTATAACGAAATCACGGCTAACATAATCGGATTTGTTTGTTTTACTCAAAAACTTGACACGATAATAATCACTTTCGATGGGTGATGTGTCATCTGGCCAGAACTGGGCAAAATTCTGTTAAAGAAACACAAAGGGGACAATTAACATACTTATTTAATACATCATTTTTCTGGTGATTGCTTACGATTTCATCCAGCGACGAGAGTAAAACAATTGTCTGGGCATTATGATCCCATACCATTTGCCAAAAATCTTTGACGGTATGGGCCATGGGATGTTGGGTGACAATAAAGTCACGCAGTCTTCTAAACCCATGCAGCCATGAGGCATTTATATAATCGCTACCCTCCTCACCCGGCTTGGGTGTTAGATGTACCCTACTGCCCTCGATGGGGAATATAGCACCACGATTCTTGATCGAATTAACTTGTTTCATTGCCGATGCAATGTGTACATCTTTGGTCTGGAATTGGATAATGTTGCGATACTGCTGCTCCAAATATGGTGTACAATTCTTCAGTTCCTCGATTTGTTGGGCCGTTAGATTTGTTTCACCCGATGCAATGGCCTCAACTAGGGCGTCGTGTATGAAAATATATTGTTCTTCGGTTTGTACCAAGAAATTTCTCTGTATACGAATGTGGCGCAGGAAACCAAAACTGTTGACAACACCCTTGTGTTGGATTTGCTTGAGCATGGCATCGAGTACGATATAAGTACCGGTACGACCCACACCAGCACTACAGTGCACAACAATGGGACCAGCATCGGGTGGATTTGCAGCGGATGATTTCTTAACGAAATTCAATACCGGCAAGGGATGATCGGGTGTCCCATGGTCTGGCCAATTGGTGTAATGGTATTGATAGACGATTTTTTCGGTATTGCACTGTTTCTTTTTCTTGAGCTGCAAAATGAGAAAATGACAATGAAATTATATAGGAATTTGAGTGCAAAAAAAAAAAAAAAATATATATTCCACAATGCTGTTTACCTTCAAATGTTTAATTTGTAAAGTTCTCACGGTATACATGGCCATTACTTCCTCATCGACTAGTTTCACTTGTATGACCCCATAGGTCTCTACACCCTCCTTGGGCCAATACATATCACATTTGCGGCGGCCACGTTCTACTAAATTCGTAATCATTACAATGATGGCAACACGTTGTTCCCAAATCATGCGCCAAAAACAATCAAATGTATCGGGCAATGGACCTTGAGTCCCAATGAAGGCCCTCGCCTTTTGATATCCATCAATATAGTTGGCATTTATGTAGTCTAGATTCTTTTTCTGGCCAGGAATGGGATGTAGATGAACTCGACTGTGATCATCTAAAAGAAGAAATTTGGGCGAGAAATTATAAAATTGAAATATCTTCCATTCTATTATGTGTTGCATACATACAGGCTGTAATATTTAAATAACGATTTTTCTTCTTGTTTTCGGGATGTTGCGAATGTTCACAGGGTAAATCATCGGAAATGCATTCGTTTTGTATGGCTTCATATTCACGACTGAAACCGATATCACCATCGGCATGCAACGAGGCAACATGTTTGGCGAACTCATTGACGGGGACAGCTGCCCGAATTTCTCCACCAATCTCAACTGGTACCTCCCAGTCGACCTGTGGCACATTTGGATGATGTGGTGGATCATCCAAATAATAATAGGCAGCATGGAAACACTTCCTGCTGAAAAGAAATAAATTTTCAAAAATGATTAATATTTTTTGTCAGTGGAAAAGTAAAGAGGCGGGTTACGGCCCGGCTAGCCAGAAACTTTGCCTAACCGCTGGCTTATTATTATATTAGCAGTGAAGCATACTTTTAGGCATCTGGTATAATTTCATAAAATAACATCTTTGGGCTAAAACAAGATATTTTAACACCCCCTACAAAATAACAATATATTCCAAGAAAAAGTGCTTTATATCATTTCAACTCTTTTACATAGTTTTAGGTCATTTCTATGTTTTATTATATTGCGTATAATTTGATAACCATTACCGTCGACGTATAAATTTCTACGCCTGTTAACTAACTACGAATTTACACCTTTCGATTCTAACACAATGCCATAATTGCATCTTGTTTTCATTAGCATTTCATGGTGAAAAATATTTAAGTGCTATTTTCTCGCTCTCTCTTTATTTCTAACCTCATCCTCTTGTGTTTTCACGCTGTTCTGATAGCGTTAATAACTAATTTATTAGCGTAGATTACGTACTTGATGTAAGCTACACTTCTTTCCCATGGAATATGGTATTAAGTAACTACACTTGGTAACACCTCAACAGCCATAGACCAAGATAGCTGCTGCTGTTGTATTCAAAGTGATGGAAACTCTTTGGGAAATTTTGAAGTGGAGAAACATAGGAAAAGAAAATGTAAAGATACTACGATGGCGACGACGACGACGATCAGAGAATAAGTATTGAGGTTTTCCTCCATGCTCTGTGTGGAATTGAAGAAAGAAAAATAAAATGCTTCGTTGCTTGCGGAATTTCTTAGAAAATCCGAAGGGTATTGCAAAATTCAAAGAAGATTATATCTGTTTTGGCGTCAAGCAGACTGGCAAGCAAGTTATTGCTATCAAAATGTGTACACAGGTTGATGGCGATGACGAATACTACAATATGTGTGAGTTTTTTTTTCTTAACGGCTGAAGGTTCTTATGGAATCCAACTACACCTATATACCTTAACACGTCCGTCCGCCACCCCCTTTGCTCCGCTCCCACAACTTGGTTAGATAGTGAAGTGTGCTCTGCTTGTTGTTCAACCTTATGAATAGAGTTAACTATAAAAATTTAGAGAAGCATTAACAATTTCTTGTTCCTTGGCGATGAATAGAAAAATAAAATTAGGAAAATTTAACGACACTATGGTTTAGTTTAGTACTTATTTTATCTACTGGACTAATTTTTGGTTTCTAAAGGAAATATAAACGAGAGAGTATTTGTAAGTGTATTATTTAGGAAATTGGGGCATTATGTTGTTGCCAAGCCTCAAATTAAATATCTGAGATTTCTCAGGTTTCCCAAGTTGATGATTCATTTTGGACATTTTCTTGATTTTGTGGGAATTGTAGAACATTCTTAAATGCTAATAAAGCTCACGTACTTGGGCCTACTACACCTGCATAAAAACGAGGTCCTAATTTTTATTGAAAACAATTTTTGTGTTGCTTATTCAAAACAAAACGCACTCATATTTGAAAAGTTGAGACAATAATAAATACAAAAAAAAAAAAAAAAACTCATTTGCATTTATAGACAATCAGAACGTTTGCTTTGAGTATTTCTCACATTTATGGATGCGTAATAATCACAAAGAAGAGTGGGGGACAATTGAATGCATTTAATGCAATACAAAGTAAAAAATAATTTTGGGCTTATGAAAAGATCTCATTAACACAATCCTTTGAAAGAAGAAATATTATATTACTTTAACATGGTACTATAATTTACTTTATTCCGTTCAGGGTTTGGATTTATAAATAAACATGTTAATTGTCGTGTTTATAAGCAGCATTTATATATTATTATTATTAACATAACAAGTATTTATTTACTTCACATGTATTTTTATTTGCGTTTATTGAAATACAAAGGTCATTTAAGATTCATTATATTGTATTCAAGTCGAAATCGTAACGTCACGAAGTTACCGTAGATCACTCAATGGTGGCATATTTAATTGTGTTTCAATTTTACAGTTTTTACTTGAGCTTTTATTATATTACTTCGTACACAACAGATATAAGTTTAAGTACCCTTTTGAAAGTAGATTATTTTTCAAGATGTAATTACGAATATGACCTTCTCCGCTGTGGGTGGAGGGAGTAATATTTCGTATTGCTACAATACTATAATATTGAATATGACTATTAAGTATAGTATCTATATAAAAGTAAAGCAATTTCGATCGGGCCGAACTTTGAATGCCCCCCACCATGTTAATTGAATTTGACAATTTCAAAAAATTAAATTATATATTATATGGGGGCTATACCAGACAATTTTCTGTCGTAGGCTGTAATATGCATAACGAACTTCAAATACCAAATTTGAAACAATTCCGGTGAATAATGTCGTTTAAATCATAAAAAATACCGAGTATCGGGAGGTGCCGTCATATGGAAGCTATACGAAGGCGTGAACTTGAATGGACAATTTTCTGTCATAGGCTGTAGTATTCATTACGAACTTCAAATATCAAATTTGAAACATTTTCGGTGAATAATGTCGCCAAAATTATCAAAATACCGAATATTGGGAGGAACCGTTATATGAGGGCTATACGGGGACGTGGACCTGCACAAACAATTTCTGTCGTAGGCTGTAATATGCATAACGAACTTCAAATACCAAATTTGAAACAATTCTGGAGAATAATGTCGCTAAAATCATCAAAATATCAAAAATAGGGAGGTACCATTATATGGCGGCTATACGAACACGTAGACCTGCACAGACAATTTTCTGTCACAGGCTGTAGTATCCATTACGAACTTAAAATACCAAATTTCAAACAAATCCGGTGATTAATGTCGCTAAAATCATCAAAGTACCGAATATTGGGAGGAACCGTTATATGGGGGCTATACGAAGACGTGGGCCTGCACAGACAATTTTTCTTCTTAGGCTGTAGTATCCATTACGAACTTTAAATACCAAATTTGAAACAATTCCGGTAAATAATGTCGCTAAAATCATCAAAATACCGAAAATAGGGAGGTACCATTATATGGAGGCTATACGAAGACGTGGACCTGTTCGGATAATATTCTGTCATAGGCTATAATATCCAAACTTTGAACTTCAAATAACAAATTTGAAACAATTCCGGTGAATAAAGTCGCTAAAATCATCAAAATACCGAAAATAGAGAGGTACCGTTATATGGGGGCTATACGAAGACGTGGACCTGTACAAACAATTTTCTGTCGTAGGATGTAATATGGTATCATTGTATGGGGCCATACCAAACCTGGACTTACATGGTCCCTTCTTAATACCAAAAGTCCCGCAGACATAATATAAATTTGAGTAAAATTTTATTAAACTACTTCATTTTGTTCGGAGCTAGAGTGATTTCCACAGACGGACGGACATCGCTCGATCGACTTTAAATGCCCGGAAAAGAATTTGGTTGTTTCGATGAGACAGGTTTGGGCCGTATCAAATGATATATACACTCTCTAGCCATATGGCTGAGGGTATAAAAAGTTCTTCTATAAATACAAGAGAAGTAAAACCTTTTTAAAGCACATTTATCATAAGATTGTTACGGCGCCTAAACTATGCTATAAAAGGAAATAATTAAATAAAAAAATACACATGTCTACTAAAGGCTAGTGGTATAATTGTTCATAACAGTGGTAAATTATTAGATATGTCAAATGTTCTATTCATTTCTCCAAGTGTAGGGCAGAAGTTTCCTATCTTTGTTTCGACATTAATTTCTTATCACAACTTAAGCTGCTAAAACGCAAATGTGCAAAAAATGAGCTAGAAAAAAAAAAAACGGCACACTTTTTCCACCCAGCAGCTACGTACCACTGCGGGGTGGCGTACGTCTGGCACACAGCATTAGCTCGATCATTTTCAACGACGACTTTTGTTTATTTTAACGTAACGAACCAAAGGGGTTGTCGAACAGGAGGGAGGTGCAAAGAGTGTGGATCCACATTTGGCTATGAAGAGACTAAAACTGATTTTAATAAAGACGAAACTTACGTAAACCAATTACCGCGTTTAGTTTTAGCCGGTCTTTCATACGTTGCCGCTGCTGCTGTTTTTGTTTTCCTCTGTCATTTTTATTCTATTGATGATTGTTATTGTTGTTGGGCGGGATGAGTACGAGTCCGTGTGTGTGTTTGGCTGATTGTAAAGTGTATTTGTTTTTGTTGGCACAATTCTCGTCGTTTTGTGACTCTTTCATGAATTTATTGAATTTTTGTGAGTTTTTTCTTTATTTTTTCGTTTTATTGAAGATTTTAGCATTTTATAGTGGAAGATAGAACTGATGTTGTTGCACTTAATATTCTCTTCTCAGCGACAACTCGTCTTCGAGTCGATGCTTTGGTGAATGTGTGTATATTTGCTGTCACTGGTTGATGTTTTGTTTGAACATTGCGTCATAATGCATGCAAGTATGGCAAAATGAGCATGAATGCAAGCAAGACCACAATCTGTTTTGTTTTTTGCATTGATTCTTCTATTGAGAAAAATCATAAATCACATGATTGGTGTCACTTCAAACAAAAACAAAAAATGCATTTACTCTCTCACAACAACACGTTCTTCCTCTCTGTAATTAAACTAAATGTGTCCACCATCGATGATAATTTGAATAGCAGAGGGCGTGAGAGCGTGCAAATGTGTTTTTTTTTTGTAAATGCGTACGTGTAGTAAGTAGCTCAACCTAGTCCAAAATAGAGATAGAACAACCTTTACCGGTCCCGACGGACAGATTAAACGAACCCGTATCTGCCTCAACGACGAAACAATTGCGTTCAACTAGTTGACAAATGCGTTGTCATTTGTCTTATCGCTGCAGCCGCCGTAATTCTCTATGCTCATTGGGTTTCTTTACTAATTTGCCTTGTTTTTTCGTTGACAAATTTCATGTTTTGTATCTGAAACGACGTTTCGCTTTTATTCTAATAATTCACTTTTTTTTATTCGA